TCTTCCCTGTAACGTATTTGCACACTACATTTATCCCAGCCTTTCAACTCATGGAACCCTCCCTGCTGTCCTAGCGACTGTGCACTGTTACTACACCCAGCATACAGATGTGAAAACTGAGGCTGCCAAAGGGTCATCACTGGCTCAAGACCTTAAACCCTGGCCTCTGAGACACGAAACCACAATGCCAAGGACAAACCCAGGCAAGGACACTGATCTGGGCTGCTCAGCCCTGCGCTGTGAAGCTGATGGCCATACACCCTCATGGTTAACCGGGGTACCTGGAGGGTCACCGGGGCACAGAAGCCGGGGTGGGAAAGCAGGAGACAGCTTCCAGATCATGGGCTGGCAGAAAAACCACAATTTTGCTCAGGAAAAACCTGGCCATTGCAATCTACGGTCCAGGTTAATCCTAAGAATGTGACTAGTTACCAAGCATGGAAAAGTGAGGCCAGGGTGCCACTCCCTAGAGGCAGCTTTCCATCCCGCCCAAAGTTAATGCACAGGCTTCTCCGAGACAGAGGGGGGCGCCCAGCAGGGCAAGCAGCACCAGCAGCTGCACAATGCCCTTTCTGCTCATCTCTTCTACCTGCATTTCCTATCGGCACTTGAGAACTGTGCTATGAAAGCAAGTCAACCAGGTAAGCCTAATGCTGCTGAGCTTCCAGTGTCATTGCCTGTATCCCCAAACCAGAGATTCTTGAATTATGTTAACACCCCAGAATTGTGTGGGTGGACCCAGATTTTGTGGGGCTGTACTGGGAGACCACACCAGACTCCAGGTGTCCTGAAACAAGATGGTGGACAAGTTTCTAGAATTACAAACTAGTGAACACATGTGCTTGCCAAGGGTCCTTCCTCCTTTTAGCTCTAGTTTCCTCCCATTCTACCACAGAAGACCATGGTTGTTACCTTAAGATTCCATATCCTGAGTCAATTTGGCGATGGTGGGGTGTGTAGTCATCCAGGTTGACCTGGGGCTGGCCCTCAGTCCTGCCTGTCCCAGGAAGGGCATCCCTGCAGGCCGAAGGCTGGAAGGTAACACACCCAGTACCCCTGGGCCTCTGTCAGTCTTCTGAGTGTTGGCTCCTATTGGGGCTAGGATCACTTGTGCCTAATGCTTTGTCCAAAACCCTTGGGGGCCAAAAGAGTTTAGGGATTTAGAAATCATTAACAGGGATGCAGAGATCATCAACACCCAGGCAGGGGCTGGCAAGCACACTGACATGGCTGCAGTGAACCATGTGACTGTTAATACCAAGTGGGCTATATAGAGAAAATTTGGGATACTATAAATAGCTTCTTCGTATCATCCATTTTTGGATTTACTAATAAAAGTGTTTATGTCAAGCTAGTGAAAACACTTGGCTGCTGAAGTGTTCTGGGAGTCGGAATGGTGGACAGCAGATCACAGACCTGAGGCAGCTGGCAGATGTTGACACCTGCACAGTTCAGGGAAGAGGCTCCCAGCTTTCTGGATTCTTGGTCATGCTACAGCCCCCGGTTCACAAAGCCTGGCAGTTTGACTCAGCTCACACTGCCTTCTGTCCCCAGGGGCCACAATACACATCTTTACTCAAAATCCACTGATGGAAAAGTGCCAACCCAGGCCACATCCTATAGGACCTTTGGGACTGGAGACCGATGGTGTCCATGTTCTCCTCCTTTCCAAATTGGAGGCTCTTCACTGTCTCCCTGTCTCCCAGCTGCAGGCTTCAAGGTACACGCCTGCATTCCCACTCATCCTGGTAAAAGCTCTCTTGGGAAAAGAGATGCCTCTTCAATCACTATTCATAGTAGGTGCTTTCTGGTTTACAGATTGCTTTCACGTGAATCATCCCGTGACTCCTCACTCCCATCAGATACACCAACAAATAGGGTTACTCCTAATGGGGACATTTCACACTGTGCTCATCCTCAGATAAAGAAATGGAGACTCATAGAGGGAGTGATTTGCTGAGACTCACACTCCGGCAGTGGTGGTGCTGCAGATCAATCCAGGTTTGAGACAGCAGAGCGGAGTGTCTGCTTCCTCCCACACCACCTCTGTGGAGGACCAGAGCCTGCCCAGCCTACCTTGGTAGCACTGCACATACCAGCACACAGCCTTGCCTCTGCAGGCAATGGATGCAACTTCACAGCATATCAAAGTCTCTAGAAATCCTCTGCCAAAACTCCTGGGGACCTGAACAGATTGTGTCAGGCTAGGGGCCCTCCACAAACTTGTCTGGTCCAGCTACACTCCTGGGCTCAGTTGCCTTCATGGGTCTGATCCTTTTGGGGGCCCTTCCCCCATTTCCCAGCCAAGGAGACCCTTTTCACTACAAGACCCAGCCCAGATGGCCCTCCTGTCTGTAAAAGCCCACCATGGTCCATCACTGTGAATCAGTGTTTGGTTCCCCACACTTCATGCTCCCCAACCTCTGACACGTTTCAGGTGCTGCTCTTTATAGAGGTCTAGCCTGGAAAAAGTGCTCCAGCCTCCCCACCTGCCAGCCCTGAGTTATGCAGGGGTGAGTGGACACGTGATGCCCTGCACAGTGGAGGAGTTTCTTGCAGGACAGGTATCCTTGGACTTGAACGTGCTTTGCCTTGTGAGTTCTGGCATCCAGACCTGCCCTCTCCCATCAGGCTGTGCTTACACTGGGGCTAGCAGATGACCAGGTGGCCTTCGCACTGAAAGCAGTTCTCCTGCCCAACCCAGCAGCTGTCTAGTGCAAAAGACACAAAGAGCCCCTCCCACCAGGCTGCGTGCAGGGCAGAGCATGGAGCCACCCAGGCAAAGGCACTTGACGTCCTGTGTGTACACAAAGCTACCGCTCAGGCACCAATTCCTGGTGTCACTTCTCCCATTTGGTCAATAGCGATCACGAGGCCTCAGGCACTGTGAGGGCCCGACCAGCGGGGCCCACTGTGCACACCTCCAATGCCTGTCTGTGCTCTGCACCTCCCAACGGGCTGGCAGGAACTGTCAGGGCAACACTGCAGGTGAAGGCATGCCCTGCCTACCCCTGCCTGCTCCCTGTCCCCTTGGTGGTGAGTCCCCAGCCAGTGTCCAGCACCAACTCCCCCCCAACCCCACAACTCGTGGGAACAGCCTCACAAAGGACCCATCCCGAGAAGGCTGGCCCTGGAGTGGTCTGAGGAGAGGTGGTGAGATGAGGCCTTGGAACAGGGTTGACATCCCCTGCCTCACTGGTTATGAGGACCCATCCTGGGGGTAGTCAGTGTGCCCTCAGCCCTGGGCTCAAGGTCACAACCCAGCTGCTAGAACTTTCACTGGGCTGGCAGGGAGAGAAGAATTCCCTGGCAAGTGAGAAGATCCAGGCGTGTGGATCGTGGGAGGAATAGAGGGAAGTGACTTCTTTGCTCTGCTGTCCACAGGCAGATGGCCCGCTCAGGGTGAAGAACAGTGAGAACAAGGGGGGTGGCAGGGTCTCCCCAGTAGCTGAAAAAGATTCAGGCAGTGAACAAACATTAGCCCAGGATTCGACAGGAGTGGCTGAACCTCAAAGAGACTGAACATTCTGCCAAGGCAGGCCCGAACCACTGGCACTGGAGGTCCTCTTGGGAAAACTTGCATCCCTGACACGAGGGCCCGGGAGACTGGCAGGCAGGGCACAAAAGACTGGGACATCCCAGATGTCTGAACTTCTGAGCCTGCAGCAGCAGCCCACCTCCCCCACCCAATAGTTGGTGCCCCCCCGACCCCCAAGGGAGCAAATGGGACTGGAGTCCTCCCCCACATGTGCCCTCCATCCCAGGAAGCATGGGAGCTGACTGCTCTGATCTGCGGCAGGACCCACAGCACTACCAGCTACAAGAACCAAGGAACCATGGGAAGAGCTGGTTATCTACTGCCCAGCCACCAAGCAGAGCAAAGTTACTGTGCAACACAGGCCAGGTTCGACGGGCCTCGTGGTGGAGAAGACGGATGACAACCCCCACCCCCCGTCACCACTACTCGGGCTGCAGCAGAGGTCACGCGGTCGCTCTGAGCAGCCAGGACCCAGGGACCGTGACAAGGTCTGCCGCTACCCAGGAGGCCGGACACACAGAGCAGGGCAGGTGGTCAGTAAAATGCGGCCTCCCGGAGGCTCAGGAGGTGGGCAACCGACCAAGGTACAGTCCAAAATGACACTGAGGCCAAGGGCAGCTGCCCCAGTAAACAGGTCAAGATCCCTCATCCAGGTTCAGCCCCCGAGCCAGTTCTCAGCTCGAACTGAGGAACAGGGACAGGGCGGGCCCCTGGGGGATGCACGCTGCAGCATCACAGCAAACAGACACAGGGATGACCCCAGCCCCTCCCAAAGGGACGTCAGGCTCTGCGTCGGTGACCCCACATGGGGTGGTGGGACCACCAGAGGGGTGGAGGTTGCCAGACAGGGTCAACTTGACACCGAAGTGAGAGACACAGTTAACTTTGACTCTGCGGCCACTTTGGGAGGACCCCCGGGGCTGGGGTTTCTGGGCACAGGGGCTCAAGGGGCAAGAGACACAGAGCCAGTCCCGAGGATTTGTCAGTCGGTCTTGACCTGGGAGAGCCTGGAATGCAGTATCCCCCAGAGCTGGGTGCAGGGCTTAGTGAGACGTCTGTCGAGGAGTCCTTCAGAACCTGGGGGAACATGTGATGTGAGGAAAAGATGGTAAGGCCAAATGGAACTCCATCGAGTGAACTCCACTGAGTAAAAAAGAAACACACAGAAAATGGGGAGGGGTGGATACACGCCCCACTCATGAACTGGAGAACTTTCCCACCTCTGGTGGCGCCTCATGGGTGGCCTCTGCTCCTGAAACACACAGAAAAAGAGGGGGATACTCACCCCACTCATGAACTGGAGAACCTTCCCACCTCTAGTGACGCCTCATGGGCGGCCTCTGCTCCTGACTCCTCACATCTTCTCTGTGCTTGGCCAAGTCACCACTGTGGGCACGCAAGTTATAGGGTAGCTGGATGGGGCTCCTGCCCAGCGCATGAGAATCCACTCACTGAAGTCCTCTCACCATGGGTATGGGATGGCAATGCACACTCCAGGCCGGCCCCCTTGCTCCTCAACCTTGCAAATTAAACAGCTGGACCCGTTCAGTGGGCCGAAGCCTGGTGTCTGGAAGCCCCCTTCAGTGCTGGGCAGCCTGATATTTGGGTTGTGGCCAACCTGCTCAGACAGAGGACAGTGAAGAGCACGTAGACCCCAGAGCTCAGGAATGATGGACACTCGTAAACCGGCATTTCCCACCCCTGGGTCAGATGTGATATAAAGGCCTGTGATGTGAATGCGAGCGGGGCAGCACCAGAGGCTCACAGAAGCTCCCCAGGCCCCCCTGGGCAGTGCCCCAGCCCTTTGGCAGACAGCACTCTGAGTAGCGGCAGCAGAGTGGCCACCCATGTCCACAGATCCCATGTGTGCCGCGTCCTCTCAAAGAACTGCAACGGAACTGAGATGAAATCAGAAACGCGTCCGGTTCTCAGGCTCGCCCCTCCATCTATCTAGGTGGTATGGAGAGGGGTGAGGACAACGGGAGCTGCCCTGAGGACAGAGAAGAAATAGGTCTGGTTCACCACCTGGAGCTACATGGCTGCCCCTGGGCTTGTCCTGTGTGCAGGGTCCAAGGCCCAGGACTAAAGCCAGGCAGGGACCAAGGGACAGACACAGATGTGAAGGAGCCCTCTCTCATGGGCAGAGTGCAGGACGCCAGGGCAGCGTCTTCTTGGGGACTGCTTGCCCCAGGTGTGAGAGGGTGGATGGCGATCCCCAGCGGGAGGGCCTGACAGACACGTGCTGACCTGTGGAGCACTTACAGCTCCAAGAGACCAGGTGAATACTGAGTCCATTGCTAGTCTGCAAACAGAAGAGGACGAATCTGCAATACAAACACCAGGGTGGGATGAATGCCCAGACCCCGAAAGAAGTGCCCACATCCCGGCACAAAAAGGACACATGACTCAGCAGAGAGATGGGCAACAGGTATTTCAGAGAAGAAAACACACTGGGCAAGGAGGGCATGAAGAAAACCGAGAATCTGGGTCAAGCCCATCCAAGGTCAGTGCTGCCCGCAAATGCACAGCAGGAGGAAAGTGGAACCCTCACCAAGCCTCAGAGACCCAGGTGGGGTGAGAGGCAGCACTCCCTGTGGCTCAGTCCACACATGTGGGCACATGAGGAGAGCTGGGGCCAGCAGCAGGGAAGGGACAAGTGTGGAGAAATGCCATGGAGCAGGTCCTCACAGCCGCCCCATCAGCAGCCACACTTCATAGGTGTCCAGTTCACTGGGCAACATCTAGTTCAAAACCAGGATTCGGGAGGATCAGCAGGATCCCACCTATCATTCACAGAAACCTCCCTCACGATCTGAAACCACTACCAGGAGGTTCTGGGGTTTCTAGAGGCAGCTAGTAACCGCTCTCAGGGTGAGGAGCGGGGCGCTAGCATGAGGGAGTTGGGCATGGTGATCGCTCGGGTACCCGCAGTGCTGAGGCCTCAAATCCAGGAGGCAGCCTCTGCCCCTCAACTCGTGGCTGGAAGGCTTCTGCAAGGAGAGAGCAGGCTGCACGCTGGAAGAGAAAGCACTGCTCCAACTTAACATTTCTATGGCAGCAGTTGTGTGGGTGCCCGGCTAATGGGAACCAGGTAGACACCGACCTTACCTTCCTGGGTCTTGGCGATGCTCAGGGATCCAGACTTGGGCCCAGCAGCCGCAGCCTGGGAAGAAGACGGAGGCAAAAGCGTGCAGCAAGAAGATGCAGGGCGCCTCAAAACTCCCAGATGAGAGCAGCTGACACTCGGGTGGACGGAGAAAGGGATGTTACAGTCATGCCTGGAAGGAGGACAGTAGGTTGTCAGGAAAAGAGGAGCCAGTAGTCCAGGGGCAGAACTGCATGAGAAAGTGTGGGGTCCCGGATGAGTTCTGCACAGAGTGGAGGACCAGCACAGCCACCCAGAGTGCTGGGTGACGACGAAGGAGACCTCAGAACACCGGAAGCCCCCCAGGGCACCATGGACGGGTTGGGGCTTAAACAGGAGAGGGCTCAGCTGTGCTTTCAATCCGGGATTGACAAGGACAGATGTCTGTGTGATGTGACACAGAACCGATGCTGTGTGCAACTCCAGCTGGAGGAGAGACAGGAGGGGTCCAGGCAACTGCGGGGGCCGCGGGGCGTGCTAGGCTGACAGCACTGGCCCCAGGCCATGAGGCCTGAGCTCAGCTAGTAGCAGTGGGGACAGGAAAAGGGTCGTTACTCTGATCAGGCACTTGGGAGGCTGGGGCACAGCAGGGAGGGCGGCAGTCAGGAGCAGAGTCAGGGGGCTGCCATGGGTGGGCTGAGCCCCCAGACCAGAGGAAGAGAACAGCAAACAGTTTTGAAGGCGAAGCTTCTTTTCTATGGGACATCTCAGGTCCCAGGGGCAGCAGGAAACTGAGGATTTTCCTTCGCATCTGCAAAAAAAACAGATTGTTGCTCAGCGCTGGGCCAGCAGGCCCAGGGTGGCTTGGAGGGGAGCCAGCCTAAGCTTTCAGCCCAGAGTTGGGGAACTCCGCTCAGAGGCTGCGCCTCTTCCCGCTTCCTGCCCCTGGGGTCCACCCTGAAGCTCGGATGCAGTCGCTGAGGACACTGGGTCGCGCTCACTTTGACTCTCGCCGAGTCTCGCGGACTGGATGCCTATGGCATGGACTCAAAAGGGCACCCTCTGGGCTCCGCCATGGAGCTGGACAAGCCCAGCCTCCGTGGGTTCCCCAGGCCCACAGCTCCATCCCTGTAAGCCCCGCTCCGCTCCCCGGGTGGCTTCACTTCACCCGCCCCGCTCCGCCTCCTTCTCCAGAAGCTCCTCCTCACTCAGGTGTTTCCCACATTTCAGCCCCAGACTCCTCGCCCTGCTCCTTTCACCTTCTCCCCTCTCTTCCGCCAGGCAGCTCACTTCGTGGTCCTCCTCAGGGTCCCGCTCCAGGCCGCAGGTCTCGAGGCTTCTCCAAGCCTAACCTTCCAAGTACCTCAGAGCGTGGCGACTGCTATTCTGTCTCCTAGCAGACAGGGGCGGCGAGAGAAAGCGCCATTGTTCGTACGTGCGTGTTTACGTAACTGCGTGCCTGCGTGCCTACGCGAGTACGGAAGCTGAACACACCGGAAATCAGGGGCTTCAGTGTTTGTGGGCGCGACGGGAGTAAGGCTAACTGGCGCCGTCACTTGACAGCGGTTCCTGTGGCGGACTACTGTCTTGCCTGGTGGCCGCTGCCCTGCCATCCCAAAAAGGCGCCCGCGATTCGCTCTGCTTGCAGGAAGGTAGGACCTGCCTCGTGCGCAGACGGTACCTCCGGGCGGGGTTTTCCAGGCTCTGGGACTAGGAGCCCCTGCCAGGACCTTCCGGTCCCCCTCCACGGCCACAGACCCCGCCTGCTTTCCTTTCACGTATGTGTCCTGGAGATGCCCTGGGACACATGCGAAGATGCCGACCTAACCTCCAGCCTTCTGCTCCTCCCCCGGACTGTGACCTCACACGAGCCTCACCCACCCGCTGTGAGCTCCCCACATCGGGCCCTAACCTGAAGAGCTCAGCTGCTTGTACGCATTCCCCTCCTGGTGGGGCCCAACCAGGAGTACATGGAGGGCGGCCGACTGACTGTGACGACCTCCGGATCCTTCCAGAGTGGCAGTTGCCACTTCTTAGTTGCCCCAGTCTCCTGGGCTGTAAATCACCATCACTTCTGGGGGATGGGTTTCTGTGCTGACCGTTGAGGCATTGTGGGGTCCCTGTCTCAGTCACATGAGGACAGGCCAGCTGCTGTGATGAGCAGAACCCACCCTGAGGGAACCTGCACGTGTGTTTCTCATCAGTTGGGCCCTCCTGGGTCCCCGTAGTCTGAGGCCTCTGCCAAGGAGAAGAACATGGTGGCTTGTTGTCCAGCATTGCTGTCTTCTCATTGGTGCTTTTCTCCCTGTTCCTCTGATCCTCGTAGAGGTGAAAACGCGCAGACAAGCAGTCGGAAGAGTGTTTTCATCTCTGACCACCAAGCAGGCACCCTCTGCTTCGAGTGGTAGGAAAGTTTGAGCCCTTTCTTGGCCAGGGATTCCACCCACACAGGTGAGATTCAGAGGCGCCCAGGAGGAAGGGGTTGGGTTGGCTGAGACACTGAGTGGAGAAAACTGGGCAAGCCTGGGATCCAGTCACATACCCCAGTAGAAGACATAGCAATGGCCATGCCCCAGGGGCCAGCCAGGTTCTCTGGTAACCAAGCCAGAACCAGTGAAGAGGGTGACCCTTTGTCACCCAGCAGGTTGACAGAGGTTCAGGGGGATGATGATGCTCGGGGCCAGCCAGTGTGTGAGGACATGGCACCCTTGCCTGTGGTTGGTGGAGTGGACACAGGGAAGCTTTTGTGGAAGACCGTTTGCTGGCATGTGTCAGCACCTCAGGTGTGTGCCCTGTTCCCTGGGCCGCCTCCTACATGGCTCTTCAGTCAGTGAGTGTGTGGTCATGTCGAGTGGCTGTATTGGCAGAATGAGTTTTCCCTGTCTTTCCATCAGGAGGGAAGTATCAGTAACTTGTGGGACCCCCAACACTGGGAGGTGTAAACAGACACCGTGTAAGAGTGAAAACAGATGCATGAAAACAGATGTGCAGACATGGAGGAGTGTGCCCAAGGTGCTGGGAGTGGAGAAGCCATCCCCCGTTGCCCCTGTGGAGAGATGTCCAGACAGGGCTGACCCTCTGGCTTCGTTTGCTGGCAGTCATGTTAGGGTCACACAGGCTGGGGGCTCAAATATGAACCGTGTTATGGTTCAGGAGGCTGGCAGCTGAGGTCGAGGAGTCAAAGTCGAGCTGACCTTGGCTCTTGTGAGGGCTGTGGAGAGTCTGTCCCATCCATCCCCTCACTTCTGGGCTTTGCTGGCCATGGTGGGTGTGTCTGGGCTTGAAGAGCTCCACCTTCCTCTTCACCCCAGTTCTTCTGTGTGTCTTTCTGTCTCTAAATGTATCCTTTGTATGGGGACAGTCGTCCTGTTAGAGGAGGGTCCATCCTAATGAGCTCACTTGACCTCCATCAGCTCTGTGAAGACCTTCCCTTTGTCTGTAAGGTCATGCCAAGGTACTTGGGATTGAGACTCCAGCACCTGAATTTGAGGGGACATGATGTGACACCTCACACCGACAAAGGCTCTGAGGTAGGAACAGACTGGAGTGTTCCAAGGATGGAAGGATGGCCTTCATGGCTACTGGGGGTGAATCCAGGGGCAAGAACAGGCCATCAGGCTAGGAACCAGATCACGTGGTGCCTCATGGGCCTGGGAGAATTGTGGCTGTCCTGTGCTCAGGGAAGGAAAGGCCCAGAATGCCCTGGGCTGGGTGCCTCTGGGACCTTGTCCCCATCCTTACAGCCACGTGGAAACGGAAGCTCCCTCAGAGGTGCTGAGACTCTACTGAGGTTCAGGCCCATGGCTCTGATCGTCCGCCTCCACTCCCCTACAGTGAACAGGGACCCCCCTCCAGATACAAGGAAAGAAGTGAGGTTGGAGGTACATGTAGTCAGGTCCCCTGCAGTCATGGGCTGTGACTCTGTGCCTCAGCGCCTCCTCAGGTGTCGAAAAAGGTGACAGTAACCTAACAGGTTATTTGAGGTTTGAATTCTGTGATCCCTGCATGGTGCTGTCCCAGGCCCTGGCGAGGACAGGGAGCGTGCCAGTCCCAGTAGTTCCTGCTCTCCGTTCTTTCTCTAGGCTCTGGGCAAGGGCCGGGGCATCTGATGACAGTGGAGGCAGTGGTGTGGGAAGGACTGGGAGGAATGTGGCTGCCAAAGGTTGGGGAAGATACCTGGCAGGGCCATCTGAGGTCTAGGGCGCCCCAGGTTCGAGGCCAGATTGATCCGCAAGGATCTATCCTCAGCAGCCCTGAGTTAAGATGGAGATCGCCAGATCATGGACAGGGATGGGGCCGGGACCTAAGGGGTGGGGTGGTGGCTGAGGGTAGGGGAAACCAAGCCCAGGACAGTACCTCTCTATGCTGGGAGAGGACCAGAGCCCGGCCACTGGGCTGTGAAGCTAGGGGGCTTGCCCTCCCTCCTCAGTGCTCCCAGGCTTTCGAGTCCCTCTGTCTTGGAACTCACCACGTGCATCTCACCATGGGCCTCTCTCCCACTGTCCTGCCCTCCTTCCTGACCTCCCCACAGACTCCATATGATGGATGGGTCCTCTGGGTCGCCACCCCCCATCAGTGGACCATGTGGTGACAGATGGAAAGAGCCAGCCCTCTCTGACCCCCCACATTCCGTGTCAGCAGGCTTGGAGGATGCTCGGGCATGTGGGGCTGAGGTCCAGCACAGGACTGTGAGCTTGCAGGCCACTGTGTCAGGATCCTGACCTTTGTGGTTCTGTGTTTCTGCAGCCACGTGAGGCCCTGAGAGCCCTGGGAGATGAAGTTCGGCTGTCTGTCCTTCCGACAGCCTTATGCAGGTTTCATCTTAAATGGTGTCAAGACCCTGGAGACGCGGTGGCGGCCCATGCTACGCAGCCAACAGCACTGTACCCTGGCAGTCCACATCGCACACCGGGACTGGGAGGATGAGGCCTGGCGGGAGCTGCTGGAGCAGAGGCTGGGGATGAGCCCCACCCAGATCCAGGCCTTGCTGCAGGACGGGGACAAGTTCGGCCGTGGAGTGATCGCGGGCAAGTGACACCCTGCCCCACTCTGTCTGCATGGCCCTGATGCTGCCCTGCATTGTTTTCTGTTGAACCATTTGGTGTGGGGGGAGGGGGGAGCTGAGGTTTCTTCAGAGGAGCAGCAAGGGTCCCTTGGCTGGGAGATGATGGCCCGAGGTCCCTGACCACCAGTCTGGGCCTCAGTCCCCATTTGTGCTCTGAGGCAGAGGCGGGTCCAGGTCTACAGGTGGCACTTGTCTCTGTGTGTATGTCCTCACGTGTGTGTCCCCATGTGTGTGTGTGCACCTGGCAGAGACCATGAGAGGCAGGAAAGCACCCAGCCTGGGTTCCCCACTGCCACTGCCTGCAGCCAGGCCTGAGCAAGTCCCCTGACTCCCCAGGGGTGAGACCCCACAGCAACAACTCTCTGCCGGTGAATCACTTGGGGAACTGATGCCCACAGGCTCCCCGCCAGGGCCCTCCTGTTCTGTCCCTCCAGCCTGCGGTGGGCAGACTGAGAGCTGCCTGTGGCCTGGTGGGTTCGTGGAGCACCAGGCCTCTCCCTTTCATTTCGCTTCTTCCCTCTCTTGGCCTTGCCCCAAATTCCCTTTGCCAGTGTGAGCCCATCTCAAATGCTCAGCCAGAGGATTCAGTTCACCCTGGTTCCCTGCCATGATACGTCTTAGTTTCTAGCAGGCGAGACTTTGAATGACCCTGCTTTCATTCTGTGTCCTGTCTTTGCACACAGGTCTCGTGGACATTGGGGACACTTTGCAGTGCCCAGAAAACCTAGATCCCGAAGAGATGGAGGAGCTGGAAAATCAAGCCCTGTTGCCCGATCTGCAACAGAAGTACCTGACTGTGCTCTCCAACCCCCGCTGGCTGCTGCAGCCTGTCCCTAGAAGGGGTGGGAAGGACGTCTTCCTGGTGGACATCCCCCAGCATCTGATCCCCTTTGGGCAGGAGGCCTGTCCAAACTCAGCTTTCAAAAGGTGACAAGAGACCAGCACATGGTGACACTGTCGTCACCATTGCACCCTGGACGTGCCCATCTGGTTCAGTCTGAATTGGCCCCACCCTGGGATGTGCTGCCAACTTTGTGTGGGTCGGGGTGCCGGGACACCCCTCGTGCAGTGCTGTTCTGGACTCAGCAAGAGTCTCCCGAACTTTGACCTTTACGATAAGATGGCGTTGCCATTCGTTTTGGCCCTGCTGGGTCTGGGTGGTTGAGAGAAATGTGTTGTTAGGAAACCATTTAGTGTTTTCCTGTCTGTTCTGGTCCAAACTCACCGATGTTGGAACAGTGTCCAGGGGGCAATGGGGGAAGGCTGGGGGCCAGGCTGTGTGTCGGTAGGTGGAGAGGCATCCAGCACACGGAGAGGCCCACAGGCCCAGAAACAGGCCCCTGGATCGGGAGCTAGAGATTGCTCAGCTGCTGATCAGAAAGTTGTGGCATTCTTGGGGGACCCTTGAGGAGCGCCTTCTGCTTCAGGGTGCAAGACTCAGGGAAGGTGACACCCCCAAGATCAGGAGCCTGGCTGGGCCATCTGCTGAGTGGCAGGCAAGGCCCAGGGACCAGCCTGTCCTTGGCTCGCCTCAGCACTCAGCTTGTGGGTCAGACCCTTGGCCGAGTGTGTGAAATGCTGCTGCTTCAGTTGAAAAGGAACCATGGGGACCGGACTGAAGCCTGCCTGGGGCATGGGCTTCCAGCCTCATCTGGCTCACCCTGTGCCATGTGTGAATAGCATGGACAGACAGAAAGAAGGAAGACTCACAGTTCTTGTTCGATTCTTTATTTACTCCCGTGGAGTTTTGCTCTACTTTATTACAGCCAGAAATCTATTTGATTACAAGAGAGTGCTTTTGAGTGTCCCTAGGGACCTAGCAGTCAGGGACTGAGCTTGTCCTTGAAGTGCTCACAGAGGACACACTTGTAATCTGAGGACTCTCCCTGCTTCTCCTCCACCTCAGGGGCCTCGTTTGGGGCCATGACTGAAGGGGCCACCATCAGGATGGAGCAGCAGGTCTTGTGCAAAGCCATCACCGAATCGTAATCTGGGTACTCTGGGGGGCTCTCAGGCAGTTCCCCTGCTCCATCCCTTCCAGAAGTAGCTGGGGGCACAGACGTGGCATTGCTGGACGTGCCCTCTCCACTGTGACTGCCCTGCTCCCTGGGGAGATGGTTTCTCCCAGCCCGCCCAGCTACACTGCCCATAGACCAAAGGCCAGAGAACACAAATGAGCACCAGCTGGGGGTTCTGCGAGCAGGTGGCGTTCCCTTCTGGACTTTCTTGCCCGCCTCTTGGGTGCACTGGTTTTGGAGTCGAGGAGAGTGTCTGGTTGCCACTGCTCACTTCTTCCTCTTTGTGGTCACTGTTGTGCTGGCAGCAGGCTGAGCAGTTGTTCCGGGGTTGCCTTTCCTCTGGATGTTCTGCAGGAGGAGAGGCTTGTCTATCTGAAAGTTAGAGTTGGGATAGATCTGAAAGGAAATGAATCACTTTAGCCATTGGGTGGGAGAAGAGCCCTTCCTCGCTGCCCTCCTCCCCACCACCATCCCAGCCTTGCCTAACTGTGGAGACAAGGTCTCTTCATTCCTGGCAGGTTATGAGTCCCTAGCATGTTGCTCCCTAGAGCTCCCCTGGGTCTGTCTTCACTTGAGGTGTTACTGGCCCTCCCTGACATCAAGTGGCCCCTCAAGGTTTGGGGTCACCACTGTGGGTCCTGTCTAAGATGGGTGGTGGAACACAATACATCTTGCTTTCTCCTCTTTCCTTAACCACCCTCTCATGAGAAAACTTTTTCCTGGGAAATGAAACCCATCCAGCATTTGACTTGTCTAATCAGTCTCTGCAGAAGGGCTTTCTGTGTTACCATCATCATCTTCTTCCCTGCAGAGTGACACGAAGGGCAGATTTTACTGAACCCATACAGGTTCAGTTCACTGATGAAACTCTTGATGCTGTCTGTCTCGAAGATCTGGTCCATGCCTCTGCGCTGGAGGACCTCCATCTGGAAGAGATCTACTTCAATGGACCACCATGTCTTCCTCATTCAAGCATGCAGAGGTGAAGGCCACATCCTCCACAATCCTCCAGAGCTTCCTGGGGAAGGACAGCCCGAGGATGGCGTTGTTCTCTTCCTCCTTGGCTGTTTTTGGGTTCAGGCACTGTGGGGGCAGATTGTCTTGAAGGCTTGGATCTTGGCTCTCGGGTTGCTCTCCCTGCTTCTCCAAAATCTCCCCTCAATCCACGTTTATATCTGGGGAGGAATCATGGGAGTCCCCTGATGCGGGTTCCCCATAAGTTGATGGGGCCAGCCAGGCTGCGTGTGCCTCATGGGAACTCTGACTAGCCATGGAGCTCAGGAGCATTCTCTATGCAAGCAGTGAATGCTCAGGGCAGAAGGGCCTCAGACCAGGGTCGGGGTGCCCAATAAATACTGTCTGGAGATTCTAGAATCTGGATCGTGGGACTGGCAGCCAATTAAGTGATCTGCTTCCTTAAATAATAGTAGTATTTATTTTTGAGGATGAAAGTGAGGTTCAGGAAGGGGGTCAGATATGGACTTTTGCTTTTTATTCAATTGTATCATTTAATATTATAAATATTAGATAAATGTCCAAGTTAAAGGATAAATATATGTGACTTACCATTCAAGAGGGCAAATAAGACACAAACAATACCTATAGAATGATCCCATTTAAATAAACCACATTGTATATGTATATATTTATATGTATGAGTGTTAAAGGAATAGGCAGAGTTCTCGAAGGATGTTCACTGAGAGGTTGACAGTGTTCTTTGTGAAGGGAAGGGGACAGAGGCGAGAGTGTGACACTATTTCTTCTCTATTCTTCCCATTGTTTGAACTGTTACAAAAAAAATACAGTCAGGGAGCATGGTAGCTGTTTTTATGTGTCAACTTGGCTAGGCTATACTGCCCAGTTGCTTGGTTAAACATGTCTCTAGATGTTGCTGTGAAATTATTTTTAGATGTGATTGAAATTTTAATCAGTGCACTATAAATGGATTATTCTCCATAATCTCATAATCTAAGTTGGCTGCATCCATACAGTTTAAGGCTTTAAGAGAAAAAGACTGAGGTCCCTCAAAGAGGAAGAAATTCTGCCTCCAAACTGCCTTTGGACTCAAGCTGTAAAAGTAACTTTTCCCTGAGTCTTCAGCCTTCCTGCTTGCACTGAACAATTCAGAGATATAGATACAGATATGGATATAGATTGTGTGTGTGTGTGTTTCAAACACATTCATTGGAGCTGAAAATGCCTGACTGGGAATTCCAGCTTCCTCACTTCTGTGTTCTTAACCAATTAAATTAAACCTTATAGGTTTCTATTTACTTATTGGTATATACAAGGGAAATAATGGAAATAATTATTTGCATTACTCTGAAAATCAAGTGACATAGTGCTTGCCTGGTTCATTGAGCATTATCACAAATCAGCAAATACCATTTATTGTGATTAAAAATGTTTTTTCAGTTTTCAGGGTAGTTTTTGGCAGACAAATGCTCCTACAGAGAACAACAGGGAAGCCCCATTAAAACATCATGTATTCCTACCACAAAAAAAATGATAATTATGTGTATGATAGATGTGTTAGCTAACCTTAAGGCAGTAACGCATTGCAACATATAAATGTATAAAGTCAATACATTGTATACCTTAAACTTACACGATGTTATATGCCAATTATATCTCATTTTAAAGGAATTTTTTAAAAAGAATAATGTAGGATAATGGCATGAGGGTGGACTAGGAATAACTATAAATGAGGAGGGTACCTAAAGCTCACCTGCATGGTGGATTTGTTACCGAGTCCAAGCTCATGGGGCTTCAGGTGGCTCTAGTGGTAAAGAACCTGCCTGCCCATGCAGGAGATGTAAAAGACGTGGGTTCAATCCCTGCATCGAGAAGATCCCCTGGAGGAGGGCATGGCAACCCACTCCAGTATTCTTGCCTGGAGAATCCCACGGGCAGAGAAGTCTGGCGGGCTACAGGCCATAGCGTTGAAAACAGTCGCACACAATTGAAGCTCCTTAGCATGCACACACGCACAACAAGCTCATATTGCTAAGCACATGACAGGCCAAATAAATAGACAAAGTGTTGGAGCAAGGAATAGTGACTTTATTCAGAAAGTCAGCAGATCAAGAAAATGGTTCATTCATATCCAAAAGAACCATTTTACCCAAGTTAGAATTCAGGCTTCTTTTGTAGTAAAAAGGGAGAGTGTGGCTGGTTGCTGCAGACCTCTTGGTGCTAGGCAGACCCTAGAGGAAATGTGATAATCTCTTGTTCTTGCAGGTGTCCAGGTAGGTCAGGTCATGAAGTTCCTGTAAACCTTCAATAAGACAAATGCTATTTTCTGTTCTGCAACTTTTTATCTCTGTATGAATGAAGTGTTATGGCTTTAAAGGCTAAGCCTGGGAGTCAGAGACTTGAGAAAAAGTCTATTATATGTTTTAGGTGATAGGCAATGTTCTTTTACTGATTGAAGAAATGAAGGTGCAGAGCCAGCATGACTAAGCTCAGGTGACAGCACAAAGATTAGAGCTAAAGGAAGAGATTCAATACAGAGTCAGGCTTGTTCTCTGATACAGATTTATGGGATTTTCTGCTGTTCCTTGTACTGTTAATGTACATGATACACTTTTTCCCTTTGTATATATACAATGTTTTACAACAATAACGTTAATAAATAGCAAACACAATTATTTAAAGTATGACAAAAAAAGTTTAAAGCCATTGGAGAACTGCTGAAGTGATCAGGACTTAAGGAGCCAACATGCTGGAGAAAGGAGAACCATGGAAAGATACACTGACATATTGCAGCTTCTTTTCCTCTGGAGAAATTTTCCAATTCTAGGGCACAATGAAGGAGGCTGAGAAACCAGGCTTCATCCAGGTAGATGGCTATATCTAGGGACCAAAAAAAAAAAAAAAAACAGCACAGCTTTCAGTGGTCTCACAGGCCCAGAGGGACAAAATTAAGGGTCTTAAGGAGCCAAGACTGCAAGGAGAAAGAAGAGATGGAGGACTGAGTCTGTCACATTGCACTCAGAAGCTAATGAGCTAAGCAGAAACTCTAAGATAATAGTGTTTGTCTCATGGTAAGAAAAAGAAATAAAAGGTATTCATTATTAGAAAAGAAGTCAAACTGCTATTACCCGAAGACAACAGTTTCTATATATAAAAATCTCATGAAGTGAAAGTTGCACAGTCGTGTACAAATCCCCATGGACTAGAGTCCATGGAATTCTCCAGGCCAGAATACTGGGGTGGGTAGCCTTTCCCCTCTCCAGGGGATCTTTCCAACCCAGGGATCGAACCCAGATCTCCCACATTGCAGGCAGATTTTTACCAGCTGAGCCACAAGGGAAGCCCAGGAATATTGGAGTGTGTAGCCTATTCTTTTTCCAGCAGGTCTTCCTGACCCAGGAATTGAACCATGGTCTCCTGCATTGCAGGTGGATTCTTTACCAACTGAGCTACCAGGGAAGCCCCCAAATCCCATAGAATCTACTAAGAAAAACCTAGAAATAATGTGACTTTAGCAAGGTTGCAGGGTACATGTGTGTTAATTGCTAATCATGTCTGACTCTGTGACCCCATGGACAGTAACCTGCCAGGCTCCTCTGTCCATGGGATTCTTCAGGCAAGAATACTGGGGTGGGTTGCCATTTCCTTCTCCAGGAGATCTTCCTGACCGAGGGATTGAACCCAGCTCTCCTGCATTTCAGGCAGATTCTTTACCATCTGAACTATAGGGAAGTCCGGGACTTCAAAGGGATATAAGAAAGCTTGGGGGGGATGGAAATGTTTATTATATTGATTATCATGATGGTTACATGGGTGTAAAAAGATTTCAACATTTATCAAACTGTACACTTTAAGAATGTGCATTTCAATTATACCTGAGTAAGGTCTTTTAAATAAAAAGATTAAATGAAGAAGGAGATGGCTGACAGAGACAGAAAAAATCAATGCCTGAAGGCTCTGAAGAGGTTGGAAAATGACCACAGTGAGGAGTCTATAATCAGAGAGTGGGACACTTGAATCACTGATGATCGAGGTGGGAGAGGGCAGTTATAGGAGATGACAATGCATGGGAAGTAACCAGGGGAAGTGGGTGGCTGAGGTAGAGGTCATTTTTCTGCCTATTGCATACTCTGTTCTTTTTGCCTGAGCACAACCTC